CTATCTTGGAGGCTGGTACATTCAGGGATGACAAACCAAATTCCTGTGCCTGGTAGATGAAGGAAAAAGTTGATTTCATTAATATAGTCACCAATCTCTTCTTAAGTATCCAAGGCAAACAGCCTAGCGCCATCCGCTCTAACAGAGCCTCCCTAAATGACCGCACCCAGAGCAAAAAGGAAACCGAGTCTCGCCTGCCCCGAAAAAACTTGTATCTCGACCATCGGAGACTTGTAGAGCTTTTCTTGGCCAATACTTTGCACAGGAAGAAGGTGAAGACGTCCCGTCCAAAGCCCAATACGAGTTAGGAACAGGGCTGAGGCTCCCACGCAGACCTCGGCCCCACCCCACGCATCCTTTCCAGCTCTCCCTCACAGGAAGTGACGGGCGGAGCTCTCCTTCGCGTCCGCTAAGGGGACTCACGCTGGGGAGGAATCAGCCGCGCAAGGGTGGGGGGACGGCGCACCGGAAACTTCCTCCCGCCGGGATCCGGAAAAACAGATGCGGCGGGCGGCGGGCGGGGATAGGGAGCGGCTGCGTCCAAGCTTCCGGAAGTTGAAGGCTTGTTTCCGAGGGGAAGACATTCCGAGACGGACTGGGAAGGCGGCGGTGAGTCCTCTGGGCCGAGGTCGGGGAGCGGGAGGATCAATACCGGGCAGCTGTAACCCGGTAATTTTGAATCCACAACTGGCGTTCCTACCGCCCTTGTTTATCAAGCACCTCCCGAGGCCAGGCCCCGGAAATGCAGCACGAAAGTGATAGACTGTCTCTCCCTTCAAGGTTTATAATAGCTTAGTGAGGATACGGAAAACCAATCAGGCCCCGAATCGCAGAAATTGTGACAAGAGCTACGAAGGAGCTCATATAATAGGGACCCAGCACCGGGGCTCTGGGCTCTCTAGTAAATGGACTCTTAACAGCAAGTTGAAGGGAGGGAGGAATTGAGTCAGGGGAGCTCCTTGTCCAAGAGGGCAGATTTGGGGAGAAAGCTTGGTGACTCGAAGCTGAGGCCATTGCGGCGGTAGCGGAAAGAGCGCACAGTCCGGAGAGGTGCTCGTGGAAGCAGAAGAGGGAGGAAGGGCCCAGGTCATAGAATCCAGAACGTTTTGACATAAAGCTGTGGCCTTATCACAAGAGTAGCGGAAGGACAAGGTTTGGTTTACGGTTTGGAAGGGTCACTTTGGCAGGTGAGGTTGGAGGATTGAGCAGGAATTGTGAGGCTACCTCTCCTAAGAGGTCACAGGTGTAGATGAGAGATGGTTCCCTAGCGTGGTGGCAGTGGGTATGGGAGAGAAGTGGACTGGTGAAATGTTATTTAAGAGGTAAAATTGGCACGACTTTACGGATTAGAAATGGGACTTGAGAGGAATCTAAATTTCTGGCCTAAGTGAGTGAATTATATAAAACAAACTATTTTGACGTGTGCTAGAGGTGGAGGTTGGATTTGAGCAGAGCTGCTGGTGGGCAGCCGGATGGCTCAGTTGGTGAGAGGGCATGCTCTTAACAAGGTTGCCGGTTTGACTCCCGCATGGGATGGTTTCCCTGCGTGCACCCTGTGACTGGACTTGGAGCTGATGGGTCCTGGGAAAAACACTGTTCCCCAACAAAGTAAAAAAAAACAACAAAAACGATTGAAATTGTTTTAAAGATCAAATTTTTGTAATACTTTGTTTTTCCATTCAAGACTATAGCTATGTCTTTCTAGTTATTCAAGTTGTGACTTATGCATCTTTTATATCTTTGTATATACCTTGTCTTTTCCTTGTTAAACTAATGTCTAAGAAAGGGCCAATATTATTGATTATTTAATAATTATACCCTCTTTGTTTAAATTGCGTGTGTGAAATTAATATCTTTGAGTCAAGTGTCATTTTTTTCTCTAAAATTATTTTCTTAATATGTGTGTCTAGGTTCTGCTAAAATATAAATAAAATAGTGAGATCAGAAAGCTGAAAAGCTAAGTTGTAGAGGTAACCTGTAGTCTAAAAAATTCCTGGTATTCTGCACCGAGTTGTCTGTTGGAGAAGCTGCCCCTCAGCCATGCGTTTGAGCTTACTTCATTTGTACAACCAGAAGACCAGGCAGCAACCTTGATCCTTTCCCAGGAATGATGAAGGAATCTAGAAACAGCTCAGCAGTGTTAGGAAGACAACATCTCATGAGGATGCCAAATGTGCTTTTGGGATGGATTTTTTCTAGTTTAGGAGCTCTATCATCTTATTATTAAGGTTTTCTTAAATTTATTGTTAGCAAAGGTATTTGTTAATGAATTATAATGTTAACTTTTAAACAAAAGTCTTTGGTCTTTTTGGTTGTATGCAATAGAATCCTGCTTATCTATGAAATGCAGTTAACACATCAGCTGGACCTATTTCCCGAATGCAGGGTGACCCTTCTGTTATTTAAAGATGTAAGAAATGCTGGAGACTTGAGAAAAAAGGCTATGGAAGGTGTGATTGATGGCTCATTAATAAACCCTATAGTGGTAAGTACAAGTGATAACGAGTGAGATCTAGGGGGCATTTAAGAATATGTTAGGTTGGGCCAGCCGAGTGGTGCGATGGTTAAGAGCTGGCTTGGGACACCAGAGGGCCCCAGTTCAGATCCCACATATGAGGGCCAGTGACACTGCCCTCCACAGCTAAGATGCTGAACAACAGCTCAACTTGGAGCTGGGCTGCTGTGAGTCACCGGTGACAGTGTAGGCTGCAGCCCCTGCTGCAGTGGGTTGCCATGGGCTACCGTGTGTAGCTGGCAGCCAGCGTGAGCGGCCAGCAGCCGCAGTGAGCGGCCGTCCAGAAGCCGGCGACTGATCTGCCTCACCCGGGAAGAGCGCAATGATGGTGCCAACTTGGGCCAGTGAAGCAACGTCCTCCACAACTAGACTGAAGAACAAAAGGACAACAACTTGTTTGTTCCCCTTCCCCAATTCCCCAGCGCTGTTCCCATCCCCCCAATTCCCCAATAAAAATCTTTAAAAAAAAAAAAAAAGAATATGTTAGGTTAAGAGCTCACTCAAGAGTGCGAGCTCTGAACAACAGCGGTTCGAGTCCCTGCCCAAGCTGAGCTGCCACTGAGCTGCCAACAAGTGGCAGGATGGCTCAGCTAAAAAAAAAAAAAAGAATATGTTAGTTTTCCATGATGTTATAGGTTAGCCAAAAATTGTCATCTTAAGGTAAAAAGTTCTTGTCCAAGCTGTGGAGTTGAATCAGATTTGACCAACCTTGAATTTAACAGTGAATAGAAGATGAAGTGCCAGGCCCTGCCCTAGGAGATGGGAAAGGTTGTGGTCTGGCGATGACGTAATGGCAGATAAGTGGATCTCCATCTCATCTGAACTAAAAAAATCTCTGCAAAGAAAGCATTGCATAGTGGTGAAGAGCACACGTGAAATTACATTGCCAGGACTTAATCCCAGCTCTGCCATTTATTACGGCTTTACACATACTTACATTCTTCTAAGTGCTTTATATATACTAACTTACTTCACAACAACTCTGAAGTAAGTACTATAATTACCTGCGTCTAACAGATAAGACGTTAAGGAATTTGCCCATGTTCCCTTGTAAGTGACAGAGCTAAGACTCAAACCCACACATTCTTTGCCTTGGTTTCCTCATCTACTGCCTACAGATAATAATACCAATTTCATAGGGTAGTTTTAAGAATTAAAGAAGATAATACAGGTATAAAATGTTTAGAATATGGCCTTTCCCATAACATTAGCCCTCAATAAATGTTGGGGTTTTTTTTTTTTAATTTTTACTGTGTTTTTTTTTACAGCTTTAAAAGTCTATGATTTTTCTAAACACGCAGGCCCTTGAGATAGAAATTTTGAAAATATAGTCCATAGAATTTGTGCTAACGTAAAACAGGCTGACATTGCATCTTCAGAGTGCTCCAGATTCTGTGTGTGTTTCTCTTTTTGTTCTCTGGTAGATCATTGATCCATTTCAGATACTTGTGGCAGCAAACAAAGCAGTTCACCTCTACAAACTGGGAAAAATGAAGACAAGAACTCTATCTACTGAAATTATTTTCAACCTTTCCCCAAATAACAATGTAATTAATATGGATTTTACTTACTTTATTTCTGTTGACCTTGTCATGATAACCTGTGTATTTCCTAATGTTGGGTTGGCGGCTAAATTCCTGTAAGCCTAATGTCAGTAACAAACCAAAATGATAAATGAAGAGAGCTGTGAACAGAGAGGAGGTTTAGCACTCCCTCTTACTAGATAAATAAGCTTTGGAGTCACTTCACATATGAGTCAACAAAAGTTTAGCTAAATGAGGATAGTTTCCTCTGTCCTCTTTACCATATAGGATCAGGAAGGTCCCTCTAAATGATATCTAAATGGTAAAACATTAGCCATAGATATTTGTGTGTTATAAGCATCTTTCATTCTCTCTTAAACTCCTTGAGGAAGAATCAGTGTCTTTTCCATATACCAGAAGCCCGTCTGGTACGTGGAACAGCCCTTAACACATTCTCATTCACATACCCAATGCATAGAAGGCGTTTGTGGTTTGAAATGGTGATAGTATTCAAAGTTATTGAACTAAAGACATTTCACATGTGGCATATAAAAAGAAAAAAAATAACTGAAATTTTGCTGATGAAGTTTTAGAATCAGTATTACTATTAATCATACAACCAGATACTAATATCATCAAGAGAAAAATTAGGAAAACTGTGGCTTGGTTTAAAATACAGATGTTTGAAAATTTTATAAAATGCATGGTAATAGAATTCCCCAGTACTGGGAGGAAAAAAATTACTAGATAATTATTGTTTCTTTGAGATCATTTGAAATAATTCCAGAAACTATTTGATTCAGTAAACATCCATTGAGCTTGTCTCTGTTCCAGTTATAGTTCTAGAGGCAGAAGAAACAAATATGTTCCTGAGGAAGGCAGATGAATAAGACAGAAGTTCAAATGCCGTAAGATAAATGATATAGTGGGAATAATAATTCAAATCTGTGGGAGCAGCCAAGAACATCTTGTAAGGAGGAGGGTACAGTGGGGCATGACATTTGAACTGGACCTTGAAAGATGAGGGCACTTCTAGCAGAAGACAAAATATGAGCACAGGCGAAGAAGTATGAAGTCCAGACTGGCTAGAAGGCAGGAGTACATGGCTTAGGGTCCCATGAGGCCAGAGGGAGGGGTGTTTGTGTGCTATGCCAAGAAGTCTGGGATTGATTCCACAGGAATGAGGTGCAATTTGGAGCAGAGCGCACTCTAGAGGCAGAACTGGTCGATGTTAGGAAGGGATTATTGTGGAGAAAAACTGACAGAGGGAACCTTTAGGATGTGAAAATAACCTGAGCAGAGAAGAAGGCGAAGGGGGAGTTGCTTCAGATACAGAAACTACTTGTTTTATTGTCTTTATTTTTCATTAGATTTCAGAGGCTTTGAAAAAATTTGGTATCTCAGCAAATGACACTTCAGTTCTAATTGTTTACATTGAAGATGGAGAAAAACAAATAGATCAAGAAAACCTAATATCTCAGGTAGAAGGTCATCAAGTTTCTCTGGAAAATCTTTCTGAAATAACAAATATTACAGAAGTCAAAAAGGTTCGTAAATCCACATTTGTAGAAAGTGTGATCGATGAGGAATAATACTACCGATGCTGTTTACTATTGCGCACCAATGCTTCTATTTTTTTTTTAACTTTTAAGAAAAGTTACTATTACTAAAAATTACTTGAAAAATAATTATAGATGCAAAGATTGTAATTTGCATGTTTATGTAAAATAAAATTAGAAACTTCATTGATAAAAGCATTCTCTAATTAAGAAAGAATAAATAACTTTAAATATCAAGCCTACACAGTACATTTGTAATAGAAAATAAATTTAGTGTGAAGTCAATGTCTAGATGTATGCTTTTAAAACTGGTACAAATTTGGTTTCTATGTTTGGAGAGTTCCCACCATAACTGCAATTTGACATAAGTGATAAATTGCCATCTACTATGTATATTTTAATCACATTTATAATTTCATACCATTATCCCAATGATTGAATGATAATTTCACTTATACATGTTTGTATGATGAAAATTAGTAGTTCGTGAATCATGTCACAAATCAGCATGTCATAATTTGTCTTATTTTTACAGATATATAAACTGTCTTCACAAGAAGAAAGTATTGGAACTTTATTGGATGGTGTCATTTGTAGAATGTCAACAAAAGATGTTTTGTGAAATGACAGAAACATTAAAAATTTTCAGCATTTATAAAAACCATTGGTTTTCTTTTCCTGATTACAAAATTTATATTTGTTCATCGTAGAAAATTTTAAAACACAGTGTGGTACAATACAGGGGGGAAAAAGCCTTCTACTCCTATCTCTTAATTTTTGAAAGATAACCACTGTTATTATTATTTGTTACTGTCTTCCAGTTTTCTATTTCTGTTCAAATATATTTTATTTTTATATAATTGGGATAGGAATTACAAACATTTACAAGAAAAACTAGAAAAGAAAGTTCAATGGCAGAATAAACTGAGGAAATGAATAAGTGACGTGTCTTTTATGAAGAAATATGTAATAAAACCTTTTCAACTATATTTGAAGCAGAGAAACAGGCTGGTGCAGCTTAGGAACAACTGAATCTCTGAATAAACTAGAGATTCATATGCTAAATTATTGGGTCATCAGAATCTAAAGCAAAAAAATCAAGCATGTTATGAAATGAAAGGTGAAAATAACCAACTCAAATCGGAGGTGTTGATACCCTGCTAAGGTCTGGCTGCCTGCCGCTTGAAAGTTAAAAATTGAGAGATGGTTGGTGGAAAGAAAAGCAGGTTTATTCTGAATGCCAGCATTCTGGTAGGATGGCGGACTCCTGTCTAAAGGCCATCTCCCTGTTCTAGACTGGTCAGAAGGTGTTATAGGTATACAAGAAGAACAAAGGAAAGGGGGAGTCAGGCTCGTCCCAGGGCTGACATGCTTCCTGGGGTCTGGTCTGTTTTACAATAATGTTATCTTTGAACTGGGACTGAACCACCTAGGCCTGGGGCTTTATGTGTATTCCCCTATCTGGGTGCCTGAGGATTAAGAAATTGTTCTTTTCAGGTTAGGATTCTGTTGATTAAATAGATTAACAAAATATGGGTAGCCTGAGAAAGGGAATAAAACCGGAGTTCTTCAGTTAATCTGAGGGTAGCAGCCAACTTAATAACTGAATATCAGGGTGGATCAAACTGCAAACTAAGTCTAACTACAAGCTATGTGGTGATTCAAGCTTCAAACTAGCGAAGTCTGATTACTTTCTTGATTTACTGAATTTCACCCTTACAATGTCAAAACTCCGCTCTCAGCTTGCAAAAAAAGAAAATGATAGAAAACTTAAGGAAAAATTGAACATGTAATGGTTTATAATTAACCCTGGCCATTGGCAGAACGTGAAAGAATTTCAAGACTCAGAAAAAGGACAGCAAGAAAAGGTTTATTGAAAGTCAGGCAGCAAGGATGCCCGTGGCAGTGTCTAGAGAAGATGGCTGCCCCGATGAGAAGCAGTGCTGGAGTTTTATATTTTTCTAAGCAGGATGTAGGGTGCTTGTCAGCTTGCAGGGGGCCTGCTGTTGCAATTATTTTGTCTTGTTCCCATCTATGATGGATGCCAGCTTGCAGGCAACTGCTGTTGTGATTGGGAACTGTTCTGATCCAATCTATGATGGGTGTTTCTTAGTTTGCAGGCGGTTGCCCTTACAATAGGGAACTGTTCTGTTCCTACCTATGATGGATGTAAGGTGCTTGTCAGCTTGCAGGTGCAGTGCTAGCCAGGGGAGTCAGAGCCAAGTTGTTAATTTTATTTTTTTTTTAAGGTTTTTATTGGGGAATTGGGGGATGGGAACAGCGCTGGGGAATTGGGGGGAAGGGAACAGACAAATTTCTGTCCTTTTGTTCTTCAGTCTAGTTGTGGAGGACGTTGCTTCACTGGCCCAAGTTGGCACCATCATTGCGCTCTTCCCTGGCAAGGCACATCAGTCGCTGGCTTCTGGACCGCCGCTCACTGTGGTTGCTGGCCGCTCACGCTGGCTGCTGGCTACACACGGTAGCCCATGGCAACCTACTGCCACAGGGGCTGCAGCCTACAACTCACAGCAGCCCGGATCCAGGTTGAGCTGTTGTTCAGCATCTTAGCTGTGGAGGGCAGTGTCACTGGCCCTCATATGTGGGATCCAAACCGGAGCCCTCTGGCATCCCAAGCCAGCTCTTAACCAACGTGCCACTCTGCCGGTCCCAAGTTGTTAATTTTTAAGCTCATTCTTGCTAGCTCACAAGCTTGCTCCTGTTAACTCTTTCCTTGTCTCATCAGAACACAGTTCTGGATATCGAACACTTTGATCCTTCAAAGGCTTTTCTTTATGAAAGTAAAGAAAATTTTGCTCTGAAAACCCTATTAAAAGAAGGCAATACAAACTGCTATTGAGCTCCTATAGAGGTTTAAGCACCAGGCAAATAAACGTCTGAAAAATCTGTTGACTATTTTATTCTTACTACAGGAATACCTTGGTTTGCGAGCATAATTTGTTCCAGAAACAAACACCTTGTATTGCAAGACATCGCTCATTTATCACATTAAAATGTATTAGAAATGTTTGCTTGTCTTGCGGAATACTCGCAAACCACGTTACTTGCAATCCAAGGTTTTACTGTATTTTTATTGTTGCTGTTATGTTCATAGTAGATATTTTTAATGTATTACTATTAACTTCCTATCCTTAGGCATCTGAAAGGAAGTTCAACATTTTTACCAAATGTTTCTTGGCATTTTATTTTCTATTGTCAGTACCTCCTCCTTGATGCTTATTTTTATCACCTCATTCTAAACCTTTCTGGCTTTCCAGCTTTACAACTCATCCCATCAAATGAACATTCCTATAAAAATCACTCTCATATTATCCCCCTATTCTTTTTTATAAAATCTTATAGAATTATTAATACTAATTGTACAGATTTTTTAACTTTATTGGGAAACAGTGTGCTTTTTCAGGGATTAATGTGTTTTTCTTCCAGGACCATCAGCTCCCAGTCAAGTTATTGTCCTTCAATCTTAGTTGTGGAGGGCTGCGCAGCTCAGCTCCAAGTCCAGTCGCCGTTATCAATCTAGTTGCAGGAGGCGCACCCCACCATCCGGTGCAGGAGTCGAACTGGCAAAATGATTGTTAAGAGCTCTAACCAACTGAGCCACCCGTCCACTCCAATTTTCCTATTTTGAAACCTTAGATGGTTCAAGGTTCTAATCCCCAGGTTTTGTAGGTTGATAGTGGAGGGCTTTTCTAATTAGAACCTCTTAAGTTAGCATAAAACATCAGTAGCAGAGGACAAGCATGCCGATGTCAGCTAGCTCACTAGCAACGCCTCCTAACTTTTAAGCATTTTTTGCCATTTTGAGATGTCAGACTATTGGTAAAGTTGAACTCTGTAACTATAATGTTTCAGCTCTTTGTAACAAGAAGGGGAAAAAAGGCAATGCCATTTCCTGGGAAAGAAGTTAACCTAAGCTTTTAGAGAAATCTTTTTCTCTAAATCTTTTAGAGAAAGTCATTTTGAGCCAATTTACAGACAGTATCCTTTACATTAAGCAGGTAGCTCCTGAGCCTAAATCCTCCACCAGAAGGGAAAGGATGCAGTTTGGTAGGCAACACGGATTTGGTTCCCTGGTCAAGGATTACATATTAAAGCAAAAAGCTGACTGTCCTCTGTGCCCTGGGATAAGGTGGGGGAAGGGGGCTCTGTTACCCAGGTGATCGTTGTTGCCCCCATCTCCTCAGTTTTGGGAGCAGCAAAGGCTGAGTCACCTATAGGAAGGTTCTTGAATCCCCTATCCACTATCCACCTCCTACACTCAGAACTACAGAGAGTGTTCATAAACCCTGTGCTTTCTTTTTTAGGCTGTTCCAGACCCTGCTCACCAATTCCCCCACACCTCCCCACTAATTCCTGGTGATCACAGAGGTGAATGGAAAACGGGCTCCCTACCTTGTCCCAGGCCAGTTTCTTCATACTTGGGTTTATTAAGACAGGGGATTGTAATGGTGGTGATATAGGATCCTGGTGTCTAGTGCCCGGAATCATGGTCTCACGTACCCAAAGAATGAGAATGTGGACTCAGGAGAGGTAGAGGAGCAAAGATGTTTATTGAAG